AGAGACAGTCTGGACATGAGCCTGAACCAGTGATACAACCAGTTGTAGTAGCAGTCCCTATTGCCATCCCAGCACAGCCTCTCATTGGTGATCAGTCGGAGGAGCTCATCACACTTGAAAACCTGCCTGAGGATGAGGAGATGAACTTACCTGGTGAGAATCCGTCTGATTCTCCAGATGCCTCTCCTGCATCAAGTTTTGCTGAACCTGAGGAACCGACCTATCAGCTACCACAGAGAGAGAGACACCCGCCACGACACATCACCTACGATCAGCTGGGTATCCTGTCCTGTCATAGCATCCAGTCACAGCCGCAGTTGTTACCTGTCTATCCTGCACCAGGACTGGTCCCATGGTGGCCTCCCTTGCAGCCATACTACTTTCAGCCACCCTGTATATATGGACCCCAGCAAACCTGAGTTTACAGAGGTGACATGCTGGACTAGAACCATGAACTACTTATGGACTGTTTCATGGACTATTTTCATGGACTGTTTGCAGACCGCACAGATCATTGAAACTGATGGACTGTTGATTAATATGTGCAGAGACTCTTTTGGACTGTCAACAGATTTGGACTGTTAATATGGATTGTTGAGGTATTTAGACTGACCTGACATATTTGAACTGTGACCTAAGTATTACCTCACAGAAGAGGATTTCCAGTGTCAAGTTCTCATTGTTTGATTGATTTAATGTCGAGACGACATTTATTTTGTAGGGGAGAGTGTGACAAGTTGGGAATTGATACTCTTTAGACTTTTGTGGGGTGAAAGAAAGCTGAATGTTTATTAAATTTAGTGTTTATTTTTCATTGTTATTTAATTCTAACGTGTTAAAATTCTAATATTCAAAGTATTTCCAATCTTAACCTATGATCTACAGACTGCTCTCAGTCCTGCACTCTGAGATCGATTGCTTTAGTCTCCGCCCACATACCTGGAGAATTCGCGGTCTTCGCTCTTTTCTCATTCGAGTAAAGCTTGCGCAAGAGACACACATCTAATATCTTTTGTGATTATTTCTCCCCTCTTTAGGTATGTTGTGTATGTGAAACTGAGTTGTTTTGTCTGTAGTAACTTGTTGACATGTTAAGAATATATACATAATGTTTCTGTTATTTTTTGGGTAGATGTAGTCAAGTTTTGTTGTGTGTGTGTGTGTGTGTGTGTGTGTGTGTGTGTGTGTGTGTGAACGGGCAGGCTAGTTTAACCGGCGTTGTGTGTGTGTGTGTGTGTGTGTGTGTGTGTGTGTGTGTGTGTGTGCGTGTGCTTGTCCCAGCTTCGCCATTTTTGTGTTTCTGTATCTTTCTGTAGTGTGTAAATTGTTGTATTTTTTTGTTACATTTCATACATATTGATTCGAGTAAAGCTCGCGCAAGAGACACACATCTAATATCTTTTGTGATTATTTCTTAGGAACCTAAAACATCTTGGTTAGGGTATGATCATGACTCTTTAGATATACTCTTAAAATCTGTTAAACATCTACAGACAAAGAAAAAGTTATAATCACTCCATAAACTGTAGGCGGACTGTCCAAATAAAGTGTTACTGAAAAGGATGCTGAGATAACTGTTGGTATTATTTGGCACTATACAAATCTGGATAGATTTAGAGGTAAAAACTATGTTAGCAATGTTATTTCTGATTAATTTATGAAAACTAAACAAACATTTTTGGAGACATTACGCAGTGTGTAGGTGAAAGAGAAAAGAGTGAGCAAATTCCCCAATAAACTTTCATATAAGAATCTCTGCTTTCATTCTTCCCTGTTCACTTCACTCAGTTGCCTCAAAAGCCTATGAGCTGCTGCAGAAAGCATGATGGGGCCTGACTTCACATTATTGTCTGATCACATATAGCGTCGGTGGAAAAACTTTGTTAAAAGAGGAGGAAGTGTTCAAAGTTCAAAAAAAGGTAATCTGCTCAGATCTAACGTGTTAACCACATTCACATGCAGCTGTGTGAACTGAATAGTTGGCGTGTGAGTCAATATGAGATGTACTACAAGGAGGTAAAGCAATGGATGTGTAACGTTCAGAGTCACATATTCTGGCTACAGTAGCTTTAGAAACCCAGACATCTTGTCAACTGAATGTGAATGTCTTTTTGAGACATTGCTTTTTCATGTTTTTACTCTTTACTTGACTTGCTGCTTTAATACATTACTTTTTAAGGAACGTTAATTTGCATTCAATATTTAACTACATTTTGGTATGTTTGTTATGTTTTTTATGTATTTTCTGGCAGACATTTTCACTTTTCATTGCAAGAAAAGGCCTACTGTAGCATCAGTGATGGCTCTGCTTCATTCAAGTGTCTCAGTAAGCCAGACCAAGCCGCCATTCACACTATCAGTGATTGGACACTGAAATCTGAGTTCTCCATCACACTAACTAACACTGCACAAGATTGCTACATACGTACAGTCTTCTACACACTCAAATACCTCATGTTTACTATAAACAATACCTGCATACAACCCTTTGTGGAATGCAGAAATGAGTGCAGTTGTGTTGCTTAAATGCTCATTGCAAGGGAACACAAGGTGAGGCAAGTTTGTTTATATGGCAGTTTATTTATTGAAAGCATACTCATTTGCTTTATATCAAAATGCACACAAATTTACAGATGACTACGATAACCGAAGTACAAGACGGACCAAAAACAAGAAACCATTCACCCTGTGACAGACATAGACAAACCTCTCACACACACACACACACACACACACACACACACACACACACACACACGCACACACACACACACACAGTGTGACAACTATAGCCTAAAAAAACATGGACACCTCTGATCTCAACTAAAAGAGGCCTCAGCAGATCTCCATCTTATCCTGGAACAATGAAGCACTGATTTCTTAATTTTCTCTCTGAAAATTCACTTTTTCCAAATATACAGGTATACTACCCAGTGTCATTTCGGGTACTTGGCTAAAGCAGAACATTTAAAGACAGGTGCTTAAATGATAATATCTTGTGCTATACCAAAACTACAGACCACGAGTAATTGGTAAGAAGGCCACAGCGTAACAACTATGAAGAGAAATAAACCTAGAAACTAGTGACAAATATAGACACGGGAAGCATTTCAAATGTAAATGTTATTAGATTAATAAACTTTCAATTAGAAATAGAATATGTGCGTATGCACACAATACATCTCATGGAAAATCACAAAGAAAGTCTGTACAAAGAAGTCCACCCTGTTTTTAATCAGACAGTAACAATTATGGTGGCACATTATTTCTGTTGGTCAGCTGTTAATTGACACAATACAAACAGGATATCTTGAGGATCATAATTTGGAGACAAATCAGATCCAGAATGCAAAGTTTGACCAAGTGTATGCAACCTGTAAAATCATTGTTGGCTTTGTTGGCTCTGTGTTTTGTTGCATATTTCATCGTAGATGTCTTGCATCTCTGAGAGGCAGTGATACTCAGACTCTTGTTGGTCTTGTTTTACCATCATGGTGCTTCTTGAAGACATGCTGCTTTGAGCGCTGTGTGAGTTGTTGATTTTTACTCAGCTACAAAAATAAACAAAATCAGTGCAGTTACATAGACGTCACAGCATATAAGAGGTTTCAGTTACCTCCCACATCTGTCAAAATGCACTGAATAACTAACTGTTGATATTCCTGGTCTCTAGAGAATGAAAATGAATGTTTTTGATGTTCTGTAATGTTTAAATCTAAACCCCAATAACAGCAAAATCATGAGTATTTTGTTTGTTCTGTTCTACACATTTGTATGGTGGTGTGTAATGAACACTGCAGCCTCTCTGAGCCATTAACAACACTTTAGATTTTAAGTTTTATTTGCTCACCTCAGCTAAACCCAACACTTCTCCTTCTTCAGCAGTCGTCCACATTGAACTGTTAATGTTGACTCCAGCTCCTGCAAAACAGTGGGGGTTGAAAAGTGTCCTGAGATAGCGTATGTTATGATTTAGCCTTACACAAATAAAACTGAATTGAATTGAAATTGAATATACTGTACACCTGTGTAAAACATACCTTGCACTTTGCAGCATTTGCTTTTATAAACCAGAACAAGGACAAATGTCACAATGAGCAGTACAGCCAGAAGTGAAGGGACAATGACAACAACAAAGGTTTTGGGTGCTGCATCTGAGGAAAATGAACAAACACAATAAACCATTCCTGATGAACAAAAATCAGCACCACACTACTTTGTTCAAGTGAAAGTACCTGCACAGAGCTTTTATTCCTGGTATTTTTTTCCTTTACTTTGGTTGTGTCATTGTTTGCTATTTCATGGCTATTAATGGTTTTATTTATAATTTCATAGCCTAGAACTATGAGCACAATGAAATCAATCACACACACACACACACACACACACACACACACACACACACACACACACACACACACACACACACACACACACACACACAGACAGACATATGTACCTTTGGTGGGTTTCTCAGAGATCTGTGTTGTTTGTGAAGTAGGGCTAACAGGTTCCACAGTGGTAAGACGGATCACAACAGTGGTCTTCTTTGGTAAAGCTGTCAGAGAAAAAGATTCTTAGGACAGTAAATCTTCACTCTTATTATTCCTTATTGTCAACTAAGTTAAAATAAATGATTTATGTATTTTCAACTAACAACAACAACAGACATAAAAAGTTCTGAGTCTGTTTTACAATGTGCAGGTTTACAGAGAACCGTACTCTAACCCTGTTTTACAGACGACTCATTAGCATTTGTGAGCAGTAATGTTTCTTATGTATAAACCAACCCTCTGTGTTATATGAGGAGGGAGAGCTATGATGACTCACCTTTGACTTCCAGCTCAACAGCAGAGAAAACATCCAACCCAGTGTTTCCATGGACACCACAAAGGTACGGACCAGAATCCCTTTGGGTCAAACTCTTAATCACCACTGTGAATTTCCTTGATGTTGTATCATCAGTCAGTGTGAACTGTCTGTTTGGTTTGTGGTCAGAGGTGATTAAAGCCTGCTGCAGACATGTGGAGGACTGGTTTCCTCTGCAGATGTACTTTATGTTGGTCCGGTACTTAGACTCATACGGACAACTGAAGGACACTGAACCTGTCTCATAGCCTTGGACTTTGTTGGGTCGGTCACAGCAGGTGTCTGTCAGTAAAATAATCAACATCACAGATCGTCACAGGCACAGACACAGAATATATAAATATATAACGTTATTACACAAATGTTTGTTCAGTTGTAATCTCTGGGACATGATTTTGTTCATTTGAAATGCAAAAAGTGGTTAAGTACAATTTTTTAAAAATTTAACTTTATTAGTTAGACTTTAGTTAAACATTCTACTCTCAGTGTAAAGGGTTTTGAGTTGAGGGGTTTTGCAGAGAAATCCTGTGTTCTTCCTGCTGTGGCACTTAAAGGGAGCATCTTCCACACTTAACAACATTCAATGTAACTTTCACATTAGACAGCTGAGGGACATACACAGTAGGTTATACATATCAGAATTTTTATTTATCTATTGGTTTATTAATTGATTGATTAATTTATTCTAGTACCTGGCACCACCTCCACATGTACTTCAGCACTCGAGGGATCCACTCCTACTTTGGTCATCATGCATCGGTATTTACCAGCATCCGTATGATCAAGATCAGAGATGGTCACTGTGAAGATTTGTTTCTTTTTGTCATCAAGGATGGAGTATTTGCCCTTCTTCACTTCTGTAGTTTTAATCACAATTTCATCATCATTGTCACACTCATTCCTGCACAGGTATTTCTCTTGAAAGTCATATCCCTCTTGATAGGGACAGGACACTTTAAGTTCTCTTCCAGTGTATCCAGCTGCATTGATCACATCAGCTGCACTGGTCACACAATGCAGTGGAACTGTAAAACAGGAAATAGAAAGAAACGCCTTGAAATACATCTTAATTCAATATAATCATCACTCCAGAATGATTGATTTAAATGACATTAATCAATTTTCACAGCATAAAGATGTACATTTAATACTCAGAGCACATTTGTGTCAATATGTATACTTTCTTTTAAATCTTAGGGTATATTAACTTGCTGCAGATGATGAGCAGCAGGTTTTGAAGGCTCCACATCTTCATGTTACTGCAAGGTAGCCGAAAAAATACAGTTGATGTAATCGAACAAAAAAGTTTTTACACTGGGAGAATGTGTGAACTGTGAACACATACACAGCATTGTGTTTAATGCTGAGAATATTGCACCTCAAAATAAGTGTTAGCACACCATTCAAATATGGAAATATCTAAATATAGATCAACCTGAACTTACTGTTTCATATAGGAATCTCTGCTTTCATTCTTCCCTGTTCACTTCACTCAGTTGCCTGAACAGCCTATGAGCTGCTCCACAAAGAATGATGGGGCCTGACTTCACATTATTGTCTTCTCACATGTAGCATCTGTGGGAAAACTTTGTTAAAAGAGGAGGTAGTTTCCAAAGTTCATAAAAAGGTAATATGAAAGTGATAAGTCAGATCTAACGTGTTAACCACATTCACATGCAGCTGTGTGAACTGAATAGTTGGCGTGTGAGTCAATATGAGATGTACTACAAGGAGGTAAAGCAATGGATGTGTAACGTTCAGAGTCACATATTCTGGCTACAGTAGCTTTAGAAACCCAGACATCTTGTCAACTGAATGTGAATGTCTTTTTGAGACATTGCTTTTGCATGTTTTTACTTTTTACTTGACTCGCTGCTTTAATACATTACTTTTTAAGGAACGTTAATTTGCATTCAATATTTAACTACATTTTGGTATGTTTATTTTGTTTTTTATGTACTTTCTGGCAGACATTTTCACTTTTCATTGCAATAAAAGGCCTACTGTAGCATCAGTGATGGCTCTGCTTCATTCAAGTGTCTCAGTAAGCCAGACCAAGCCGCCATTCACACTATCAGTGATTGGACCCTAAAATCTGAGTTCTCCATCACACTAACTAACACTGCACAAGATTGCTACATACGTACAGTCTTCTACACGCTCAAATACCTCATGTTTACTATAAACAATACTTGCATACAACCCTTTGTGGGATGCAGATATGGTGCAGTTGTGTTGCTTAAATGCTCATTGCAAGGGAACACAAGGTGAGGCAAGTTTGTTTATATGGCAGTTTATTGATTGAAAGCACACTCATTTGCTTTACATCAAAATGCATACAGATTTACAGATGACTACAATAACTGAAGTACAAGACGGACCAAAACAAAAAACCATTCACTCCGTGACAGACAGACAAACCTCACACACACACACTAACAGAGTGACAACTATAACCTAAAAAAACATGGACACCTCTGATCTCAGCTAAAAGAAGCTTCAACAGATCTCCATCTTATCCTGGAACAATGAAACACTGATTTCTTAATTTTCTCTCTAAAAATTCACTTTTTCCAAATATACAGGTATACTACCCAGTGTCATTTCGGGTACTTGGCTAAAGCAGAACATTTAAAGACAGGTGCTTAAATGATAATATCTTGTTCTATACCAAAACTGCAGACCACGAGTAATTGGTAAGAAGGCCACAGCGTAACAACTATTAAGAGAAATAAACCTAGAAACTGGTGACAAAAATAGACACAGGAAGCATTTCAAATGTAAATGTTATTAGATTAATAAACTTTCAATTAGAAATAGAATATGTGCGTATGCACACAATACATCTCATGGAAAATCACAAAGAAAGTCTGTACAAAGAAGTCCACCCTGTTTTTAATCAGACAGTAACAATTATGGTGGCACATTATTTCTGTTGGTCAGCTGTTAAAGGACAATTCCGGCGCAAAATGAACCTGGTGTTAATAACACATGTGTATCGAGTTGATCCGTTCTCTGGGATATGTTTTCATGCTAATCGACCGTGACCGGTTTTAGCACAAACCGTTAATTAGCTTATAACGCTAGCCAACGGGGCACACAGTAACGTGAAAAGAAATCACTTTTTATACCACTAACAAGACTCAAAATAGCACCACACTTACACGGTAGCATAATGAGGGTCTCTACCTATAAACCGAAGCATTGAGAACTTTGTAAGTGTACAGACAGTTTATTAAAAAGATAGTTTAGAACAGCAGTAGCGTTCGCGTATACAGGCGGGCGCTATCTTGGGAAAACAGTCAGGGGTTAGGTCATTCATGCAGATCAATGATCAAGACTTACAATGCAATTAGTTGCATATTTTATCGTAGATGTCTTGCATCTCTGAGAGGCAGTGATACTCAGACTCTTGTTGGTCTTTTTTACCATCATGGTGCTTCTTGAAGACATGCTGCTTTGAGCGCTGTGTGAGTTGTTGATTTTTACTCAGCTACAAAAATAAACAAAATCAGTGCAGTTACATAGACGTCACAGCATATTAGAGGTTTCAGTTACCTCCCACATCTGTCAAAATGCACTGAATAACTAACTGTTGATATTCCTGGTCTCTAGAGAATGAAAATTAATGTTTTTGATGACACGTTTTGTAATGTTTAAATCTAAACCCCAATAACAGCAAAATCATGAGTATTTTGTTTGTTCTGTTCTACACATTTGTATGGTGGTGTGTAATGAACACTGCAGCCTCTCTGAGCCATTAACAACACTTTAGATTTTAAGTTTTATTTGCTCACCTCAGCCAAACCCAACACTTCTCCTTCTTCAGCAGTCATCCACATTGAACTGTTAATGTTGACTCCAGCTCCTGCAAAACAGTGGGGGTTGAAAAGTGTCCTGAGATAGCATATGTTATGATTTAGCCTTACACAAATAAAACTGAATTGAATTGAAATTGAATATACTGTACACCTGTGTAAAACATACCTTGCACTTTGCAGCATTTGCTTTTATAAACCAGAACAAGGACAAATGTCACAATGAGCAGTACAGCCAGAAGTGAAGGGACAATGACAACAACAAAGGTTTTGGGTGCTGCATCTGAGGAAAATGAACAAACACAATAAACCATTCCTGATGAACAAAAATCAGCACCACACTACTTTGTTCAAGTGAAAGTACCTGCACAGAGCTTTTATTCCTGGTATTTTTTTCCTTTACTTTGGTTGTGTCATTGTTTGCTATTTCGTGGCTATTGATGGTTTTATTTATAATTTCATAGCCTAGAACTATGAGCACAATGAAATCAATCACACACACACACACACACACACACACACACACACACACACACACACACACACACACACACACACACACACACACACAGACAGACATATGTACCTTTGGTGGGTTTCTCAGAGATCTGTGTTGTTTGTGAAGTAGGGCTAACAGGTTCCACAGTGGTAAGACGGATCACAACGGTGGTCTTCTTTGGTAAAGCTGTCAGAGAAAAAGATTCTTAGGACAGTAAATCTTCACTCTTATTATTCCTTATTGTCAACTAAGTTAAAATAAATGATTTATGTATTTTCAACTAACAACAACAACAGACATAAAAAGTTCTGAGTCTGTTTTACAATGTGCAGGTTTACAGAGAACCATACTTTAACCCTGTTTTACAGACGACTCATTAGCATTTGTGAGCAGTAATGTTTCTTATGTATAAACCAACCCTCTGTGTGATATGAGGAGGGAGAGCTATGATGACTCACCTTTGACTTCCAGCTGAACAGCAGAGAAAACATCCAATCCAGTGTTTCCATGGACACCACAAAGGTACGGACCAGAATCCCTTTGGGTCAAACTCTTAATCACCACTGTGAATTTCCTTGATGTTGTATCATCAGTCAGTGTGAACTGTCTGTTTCGTTTGTGGTCAGAGGTGATTAAAGCCTGCTGCAGACATGTGGAGGACTGGTTTCCTCTGCAGATGTACTTTATGTTGGTCCGGTACTTAGACTCATACGGACAACTGAAGGACACTGAACCTGTCTCATAACCTTGGACTTTGGTGGGTCGGTCACAGCAGGTGTCTGTCAGTAAAATAATCAACATCACAGATCGTCACAGGCACAGACACAGAATATATAAATATATAAGGTTTTTACCCAAATGTTTGTTCAATTGTAATCTCTGGGACATGATTTTGTTCATTTGAAATGTAAAAAGTGGTTAAGTACAATTTTTTTTAAATTGAACTTTATTAGTTAGACTTTAGTTAAACATTCTGCTCTCAGTGTAAAGGGTTTTGAGTTGAGGGGTTTTGCAGAGAAATCCTGTGTTCTTCCTGCTGTGGCACTTAAAGGGAGCATTCTTCCACACTTAACAACATTCAATGTAACTTTCACATTAGACAGCTGAGGGACATACACAGTAGGTTATACATATCAGAATTTTTATTTATCTATTGGTTTATTAATTGATTGATTAATTTATTCTAGTACCTGGCACCACCTCCACTTGTACTTCAGCACTTGAGGGATCCACTCCTAGTCTGTTCATCATGCACCGGTATTTACCAGCATCCGTATGATCAAGATCAGAGATGGTCACTGTGAAGATTTGTTTCTTTTTGTCATCAAGGATGGAGTATTTGCCCTTCTTCACTTCTGTAGTCTTAATCACAATTTCATCATCATTGTCACACTCATTCCTGCACAGGTATTTCTCATGAAAGTCATATCCCTCTTGATAGGGACAGGACACTTTAAGTTCTCTCCCAGTGTATCCAGCTGCATAGATCACATCAGCTGCACTGGTCACACAATGCAGTGGAACTGTGGAACAGGAAATAGAAAGAAAGTCCGGTAACAGGTTTCATAGTTTTTCCAATTTGCTTTAGCTGTTTTTTTGAAGCAGTCTTAACGTTCTCCAAACTGTTGTGAAATTGTCATTGTCAATTGTTTCATGGGACATTACAACTCTAACTCTTGTCATTCACCCAAAACATTTCATTCATGCTTCAAAATCGAATTATTGTGCCATTCACCGTTGCCACCAAAATTAAAAGTTATCGTGTGAGCTGTACTGGGCAATCAACTTGGCCATGTCTTTTCACTATGACAGTTGACCTTGGAAATGTTTCACATTGTTGATTGTTGCTGAATGCTTTTATGTATTGCACTAAGCTTTTGAGTTTCAGATTTCAACAGCAGGTAAAACTTTACTGAGGATCGTCAATACTCTAGAATACTCTAGAATAAGGATTTGTACGCAGTAAATGTATTTGTGAAGCAACAATGAAAACGCCTGCAGTAGTTTGGTAAAAAGACAAACAAATTGTACCTCCTCACTGAAGGCTTATTGTGATTCCCTGTTCATTAGTGTCTCCCTTAATTTGTCAATGTAGCAGACATCACAAACCAATGTTTATTTGACAGATTTGGTTGAATAGGTAATTTTGCATCCAATTGCACAAACGATGCAAGATGTGAAGACTTTGACAATTTCACTGAGAATCAACTCATCATTTGATCAGCTAGCCATGTGCAAGTGGTAATTGTGCAAATTGAAGACAGTTCTACTCTTTTGCAAAGATATGCCATGAAATTGGCTTGAATGAATGAGAAATTTAAATCTGTTGTGAACAACAAACTAATTGTTAAAGATTTGAACTTTAAGAATTGAGCCAAAGTGAATGAGAAAAACTACAATTCAATTATCAGACACACACACATCCATATGCTTTTGCAGGTGCTAGGTAACAATAATCTGCACAAAAAAGACAAAGCAATCTTAGAAAGATCATTTTTAAAGTCTAATCTAAAGAACTTACTGCAGAGGATGATCAGCAGGTTTTGAAGGCTCAGCATCTTGGATGTTACTGCAAGGAAACAGAGAAATTACATCTTATGTGGTTGAGAAATTACGTGCACTATACACTATGAGACTGAATAGTTCACACAAACAGTGGTGCGTTTAATGATGAGAATATTACACCTCACAATATGTGTTAACAAACAAATACTGAATTGTCACAGTCCAGCCTTCAGGTCAACAACTTTATCAGCCTCGAATTATCACATACAGTAGTTTTCTATGGTACTAGACCATTAAGGGAACTGAAGCTAATTTGGGGGCCCTCTTTTCTTTCTTTGTCATTAACAAAAATACGTACAGTGCCTTTATTTTAGATTGATGCCAGCTTTTGATGCAGTCACGTACCACTGAAGAAACAGTTACTAATTTGACTTTTTTTTCTTGTAGGGTATTTAACATATGTCTAAGAAGTATCTCAACAGTATATATCAGTCCCTCCAGAAAAACGCGATTATGCGATCGCATAATTCAATGCATAATCAGCCAAAGTCCGCATATTTATGCGGGGGCCGCATTTTTTCAAATATGCCGCATAAATTGCAGATTTCCGCGCAAAATATGCGAGGCTTGCATGATTTCATAATCCCCGCATAAGTCACCTATATCTTGAAAAATTTTGCGTTTAGCCATTTTCCCCTGTTGCCATGGAACGTTATGAAGCGACGTAATTACGCGACGTGAACATCATTGAAAAGCTGCAAACCCCGTGATGAAAACCCTACAGTTGTAAGTATATTAGTAGGATATAAATTTACGTTACAGTAAGAGATTGCACTTTGTGCATTGGAAGCACTTATTTTAACAGAAGATGTCTGTTTTGTATAGTTACCTCTGTAAAACAGGAAGCACACATTTTATTTCTTTATATTTTATTTATTAATTTTTACAGAAGTTGAAACATATTCCTTTTGTAAAGCTACAGAACTTGTTTGACTCATCAATGTTTTGTAAGTTTGAGCCATGTGTTTATTAAGGTCTGAAATAAAACAAGATGAGAACTTAAATATTCCCAGCACTTTCTGTGATGTGTGATGCTTGCTTATCATAGGAAGTAATAAGAAATGACTCTTTACATTAAGGTAGTAGCCTAGTGAGAACAGGTTGTTGGGGGAATCACTTTTTTTCCTTTTTCATCAAACCGCAATTTTTGCAAGTTCCCGCAATTTTTGCAAGTTCCCGCAATTTCATCGCATACAATTGCATAAATATCCCACATATTCCATCGCATTTTTTAAGAAAACGTGCCGCATAATCATTTTTGCCCACAACAATCACAAAAAAACTCAGCATTTTTCTAGAAGGACTGATATATATAGGGAAATAGGCTTTTTCTCTTTCTTAAAGTAGCTGAGAAAATCTCTGTATGCTAAATAGGAAGCTACAGCCAGGAGACTGTTTGCTTAGCTAAGCATAAATACTGGAAACTGGGAAGGCACCTATTATTACAAAAGCCCAATAGAGTGCTGCAGGAATAAGCCCTAAATCCCAGAAACGAGTCAGAATTTTTGCACTTCAAGGTTCACCCCAAAGTCAATACTTTACAGAAAAGATGATGATTTTGGTTAAAATAGGTACTTTATTTACATCAGTTAAGTTACAGACATACGTTGGTGACATATTGGTATATTTTAAGAATAATGAGCCGTCAGAACAATATCACTACAGGTCAGCTAGTCTAATTTGGTTAAACGAGATAGATATAACATGCTAATTAGTAAGCTTTAGAAGTATTGGTAGGCAGATTTTTTTTAACCTTTGGACTTTCACTATGCCATATGCCAATCATTATGGTAAACAGTCTTCTTGCGTAAACTAACTCCTGGCAAGATAGCAAATTAGCTTATTTTCTAAGATCTAAGAAGTCTACTAAAGTATTCCTTTAAGGTAACGTTTATGCTGGCCTCCCTCTTCGTGGTTGAAGCAGTTTATCCAAACAATCAAATATGCCCAGAAAGAGTCTTAGACCGAGGAGGTACAAAAATATCTATGAATAAAGTTGTAATTATGTACAAAATCAACAATAATTACTTTCCACAACAACAATGGATAAATAAAGACTAGTGAGGTATCAGAAAACGTATATGGCCTTCAATTGCTTCAATGGACAGAAGAAAATGTCCAGGGCACAGAAAATATGTCTAACCTGCAGCAGCAGTCATGTGCTTCTCTACTAAACCAAAAGTAAAACTTAACTCAACTAAATGCTAAACTGCATTTCCCAGCTGACCTTTGGAAGCCTGAGTGATGTGCACTGACAACACTGGGTGTATCTCTGTGTCTGATGTGGGTTCATGAGGTCAAACTACATCTCGGGGGCTTTGATAAGAAGGGTGGTCCTGACAGCCATGTCGTGTTTGCTAGGAGTGCACCTGGTACCGACCTTGACCCATGGTCCGCTGGGTTTTGCTCGGATGGAACATATCTCCATTGGTCTGGAGATGTTGACTGCTGCTGATCTGTTGGATCAGATTGCTTGCATACACATAGAACATCTATGTCTCGTTATGTATGTAGCCCAGTTAGCAGGGTGTTATGTGTGGTCAGTGCTCAGGCCTCTGCTGTTTTTGCTTTTGCTTGTGGAACAACTAAAGCCATGCTTGCTTTTGAGCTACAGGATGATCGTGATGAACATGAGCATACAAATCAAATCTCTAAATCCACTCATGATGTACTAGGGCTTCAACTACTTTTGTGCCGTCTTCAGGCTAATTTTCTTCCTCCATATTTGGTTCTGAGTAGAGATGCTTCTATTATGTCCTCATTTGTGACAAGCTGTAAAAGCTTAAGTCCAGTGTAGTAAGCACTGAAACCATTCTTCTCTGCTCTGAAGGGATGAGAAGATATCATTTCAAATTTCAAATTTGCCCAGAAAGACTCTTAGACCAAGGAGGTTGTGTTGTTTTTGAGTTTACTGAGAGACATCATTTGACTGTGAAACTGAAACACAATACAATACAACAATATCCATGAATAAAGGTTCTTAGAACATACACTGCCTTACAACTGAAACAGGAATAACCCTAACCCTAACCCTATATTGCTGACAGAAATGTAATAAATAGTAATGAGTTTTAAGATTGTGGTGTTGTAGAAGTTGTAGATAATTACAAAGAATGACATAATAATCAAGTATATTGCACATTGGCCAGGGTATTGCACCTTAATCGACTTATTGCAATCTACATCTGGGATATACTGGCTACACGCAGGGACTGTAGCTAAACCAACAAAGGTGCTTCATGCTAACTGAAGAAACAACAGCTGCAATAATGTACAAAATGAACAATAATTACTTTCCACAACGACAATGGATAAATAAAGACCAGTGAAGTATCAGAAAACTTACGGCAATGGCCAAGTTGCCAGTAACCAAGTAAATAAGTTGTACCAGTTAAGGAAAAGTATAAATAATAATCTAAATAACTACTTGAGAGAGACTAAGAAAGTATCCAGTAATTGGCAAAAAGATGACTTGAGTGGTTAATTTGTATACGCCCTGTATATCATAAACAATCACATTGACTGACCCTATTTCTCATTACAAATTTCTCAGCACATTTCAATCACATTCTTTACATTATGAGACAAAGCAGGTGTAGCTTTTAAAGCATGATATGTGTAGTGTTGAATTTCTTGGTCTAAAAAAAGGCAACTTCCTGCTCTCTGTTAGCTACGTGTCACTGTGGTATATGGGTGTCAGAGATACCTCCATAGAGGTTTGATGTGTGAATTCTACATAACAAAACTAGCACTTTGACTAATGTTGTCAGTAAGAATGTCACCCAGCTTCCCTCTTACAGACCGAGCCATAATGTGCTGACCACATAAACAGCACAAGCACAGATAAGCTGTTTTTTTGCGACTTGGGGGCAGCAGAAAACAAAACAGCCATAGGCATATTATTGTCTTTTAACTTAATGTGGTGAAATTGTTGATTTATTCAGCCTTTTAGTGGGCAAGGACATAAAAAACATTTACAAATGTGTTTTCAAAATCTTCTGGAGTAGGTTTCCCATTGCAGATTTTAAACTTTTAAACTTAAACTTAAACTCATAAACATAGGACTAGTTTCAAACCTTCATGGAAACTTGGAAAAAAGATGAAGTTTGTGTAAGTCAACATCTTATTGGTAAAAGTCAAAAATGTTTCTAAAAAATGTCTAAAATGTCCATAAGAGAAAGTGAAACCTACTTCAAATAATTCATCCTCTAAATACCAATTTGCATTTGTTCTTACAAATATGCCTATACATAAATCATTTCCTGCAACCTCTGTCTCATCATTAGAGTGATAAAATAAATGTACTTTGACTTTTCCAGTACTTTATTTGAGTTCATCAGAACTGACAGTCAATACAACACTGTGATACTGTTTCTATATCTCATTTATATAATGCAAACAGAGCCATACTGCCAATTATAATATTCTGCATTTGAAAAGTACGTTTTCTTTTGACAAAAATTGTCCTGACTGAATTATCATTAGTGTGATAAAAAAAAAGGCGATAGACAAATAAAAGCAATAAAAAGAAGAAACTGAGTAAAACAAATAATTTCCAAGAATAAGATTAAAAACTAAAATTAACACATATAAACTAAATAATATCCATGGACTGATTAATATTTATTGATTCGCCATATAATCTGGAATATTGCCTATTGACTCTTTCATGAATCAAGTCTTTATATTCAGTGTAACAGTTAAACAGCACCAGCAGAGGGCTCAGTGTGACACATATTAACATGATGTGACTGTGTGCTTTATAGGAAGTGGACTTAAAGCTCAAGTTGTCAGTCAAATCAAGTGAGCGTCAACCCTGAAAAGTAGTATCAGTATTAGTCAAACAAATGTAGTGGAGTGTAAAGTAGCTTAAAATGAAAATATTCTAGTTGAGTACAAGAAATCCATGATAAAACTGTACTGAATGATTATACTTGAATAAATGTACTTTGACTTCTCAACCACTTTATCATCAGAAATCTGAAACTGATAACAACATGGTGTTACTGTTTCTATATCTCATTTATATAATGCAAAAAATAATACTGATGAGTTGTTTCAATAAAAACTATGGTCTGTAAAGACAGTTATGTGAATATGTGTTGATCAGCTGTTAATTGAGACAAAACTAACGAGTGAGGCCTAAAATGCAAGGTTTGATCACAGATGTGCGTGATGTTCATCTCTTGGCTTTAATGTGACTTTAGTAGAGTGTTTTAAACATCTTCTGTTTTGGTACACAGACATGTTCCGGTCTTCATCTGCATCATTATAGTGGTTATAGGTGCTCTGTGGTTTGGAGGTCCCCCATTGTGAGCTTCCTCTCCTTCCTGTCTTGAGTTTCGTAAATCTAAAAAACAAATCAACAAAAATAAACAGATAAGAGGACAGCGTTACATAGATCAGAAATGAGGTTATCATTCAAATGTTTCAAAATAAATGTGTCAGTAATCATAAAAAAGACATTCAGCATCGCCTGATTAGAAGTCTAATAATCACATGGTCATTTCATTTGCTCAGTTTAATTACTGTGATATTTGGTGTAAGCATTCTCTGACCAAGAAAAATGATTATCCTCAGTCCTTTTGTCCAGTACCACTGACAGGTAACATGAGCTATACACTATAATCTAACTGGCCTCAAATGTTTAGAACCCCTTCAGTTTTAGATCCTGAGCTTTTTTTCCACCACCTTCATAATGATGTCTAATACACAGAGTGCTCAGCAAACGCATGGTTTCAAGGGTATATACTTTGTTATTTTAGTGCCAGGACAAATTCAATCTGATTTTAATAGGTTTAATAGGTTATTAAAAAGGTACACACACATATATATATATGTTATATTTAGCTGAAATATTTCTTACAAGATAAAACTAATGATAAGCAGTCAGAATGAGTGTAAAGGTAAATGCAAATATGTGCAAATAATCATATTATTACTACTGATAATTGAGACAAAACAAAAAAGATGGAAAGTTTGATCACAGATGTGCATGCTGTTCATTTCTTGGCTTTATGTGTATTTCATTGGTTACAGTAGATATTATCTGTTGTGGAGAAGTTTTGGTACACAGAATCTTGTTCATCTTCACCTACATCATCACAGGTCTTCTGCGGTTTGGAGGTCCCGTGCTCTGAGTGCACAACAACAACTTCCTGATTTTCATAAATCTAAAAAAAGAATCCACAAAAATAAACAGATAAGAGGACGGTGTTACACAGAATTCATGTTATTATGCAAATCTTTCAAAATCACTTACAGTATCATTAATAATTAAAAACTACATTCAACACAGCCTGAAAATGGTCTAATAAGCAGTTAGTTGGTAATTTCTTTAGCTCTTTAGATACTTTGGTCCAGAGCCAAACATCTTTCCATTCTCAGATCAGGTTGCTGTGAAAGTTGTGTCCTCTAGGAAGCCTTTGGACTTTTGTATTCTTACATCTGGGAGATCGATCACGTCCTCTGCCTCTGCTGCCTTGGTTTTGTTTCTGTTCATGTTGACAGCTTCATCTCCTGCAAACAGCAAAAGAAATGGTCACACAATTTGTTTGCAGGCATATGTGTGTTTGAATGTGTGCAGGGGTCTGTACATTGGTACTGTAAAACATACCTCGCACTTTGTGACATTTGTATTTATAAACTAGAACCAGAGCAATTACCAGTATGAGTAGCACAGCGGGCACAATGAAAACCACAGAATGAAAGAGTGTTGCATCTGAAAAAAAACAAAACAGAGTAAATATATATACTTCCTGAACACATACATCAGCAGAACAGCTCTCACAATAAACTAAACTAAACTACAGAAGTAACACCAGATATCTGAACTGTTGCCTTTGATTTGTTCATGTTCACTTTTCATAAACTTTTCATTGGTTGACCACATGCTCACACACACACACACACACACACACACACACACACACACACACACACACACACACACACACACACACACACACACACACACACACACACACACACGTACCCTTGATATGTTTGATATGGCGATCAGACAGTTTCCTCCACAGTGATGATTGAGGTCACAGTGCTGGTCTGTGGTGGACTGTCAGAGAGAAAGTTTCTTACGAGAAATATTCTTATTTTTATCCCTGCTAGCAGTGGTACTCTGAGGCAATGTTTGTTGGTCAGTTAGTCAGTCAGTTAGTCAGTCAGTGAGTCTACCAACTCGGTCCACACTGAAATACCTTTACAACTATTGGATGGATTGCTATGAATTAACAGAGGATGAATCCAAATGATGTTGGTTATCCCCCTGACTTTTCCTCTGACCCCACCTTGAGACTTACTGACTTAATTTTAAGCGTACTTAATATTCATGTTGTTAATCATCTTACATTTGCACTACCTCCATTAGCATATACTATATTGTTGACAGACAGATCTGTGTTTCAGGTCTGGTGGCTAGATTTTATTTTATGTTTCATTCTTATGTTTTAATTCTTATTTTCTTATGTATATCTGTTTTTTTTTGTATTTGTTGTGTGTAAGAGATTGGATGCTTAAATTTGTTTCGTAAACCTGTGCTAACTGAACCTGCAGGTTACAACACTACTACAAGGAAACTTAGAAATTACTGCTTATGCGGTTGGAAAGAAGGAAATGTAAGCACTGTGATAATGTATGAATATTTCACAAAAACGAATGTGTTTAATGTTGACGATATTACACCTCACAATATGTGTTAACATGTCACGCAAATATAGAAGTCTCTGTCCAGCCTGTTAACAACATTTTCTATTGCACTAAATCTTTTGGGGACCTGAACCAGAAATCTCATATGGGGCCCCTGTTGAGAGTTAAAGCTGTGAATGTATATTATATAGTAATTTCATGGCAATTATGTATAAATAATTATAGAGACCAACCTAGTCCACACAATAGGAGAGTTTGACCCTAGTGGTACATGGATAGGCCTATATGTTGGTCAGCTGATTATTGAGACAATACAAGTTTCAGATTACAGCTGATAACATCTGGTGAGGTTTTGATACGCTTAGTCTTCATCTGGATTGTCACAGTACAACATGCTCTGTTGCTTGGAGCATGAATCTTAAAACACACACACTATCAAAAATAGTATTTCCCTGCATCACCTGCTTTTCTTTCCTGTTGCTGAGAACTTGAAGGCCAGGTCCAGTGTATTTGCAAATTGCTTTGCTTCACCCTCCCCTTCAAGCGCGAAAGAGAAACTACTGTGGCCTTAAAACTTGCAAATTTAT